GATTACAGTCTATTAGTAAGAAATACAATAATAGACAATTGTAATGTGAATGGCTATTTCTATCTGAACAAAACGGATAGTTACTTGATGCACCACAAGCCTAACGCTGACTTTACCTGTAACCTAGACTGACAACTAGTTTCTGAATGAACATATCTTACTGGGAAAACATTTGTAAATTATCCTAATAAAATATAATAAAAAGAAGCCCAATCTAGACTTGCTCACTTGCATGTGCTGTTTTGGGTAGATTTGTTTCAGGGTCTGTATGACAGACTCCTAGTAACCCTTCCATCTAGATAGAGGGCGCTAATACAGTTGCAGCGCCCTCTAGCGGCCGGTACAGAGTAGGCCTATAACCGTCCACGACAACACCGGAAGGACGTAGAGAGGCGATATTCCTTATGGCCACCTTCCTACCGTTATGAGCAATAAGATCATAATAAATTGAGTTTTGAAGATGCAAGGCTTCGTTTCTACAGCTAATTTGCGTTGTTATTAGCCTAGGTAGTGTTATTAGCGTTTGATTTTATGTGTGTTTTATTACTGCAATGACATGTCCCTAATGATGACGCTAAATGGATTACGTGATAATCACCAAGACGTAACAAGCGAGAGTCATTCTGACCCTCGGTTACATTCATCAACATCTCGCTAGCACAGCGTTATCCCCTCATTTGGCCGGATAGGACGGCTTTTTGCACTTAATGGATATCGATTTTGTGTTGCAAAACGCTTGTCTTCACCTACTGAAAGCAGGTCGTACAATCGTGTTGATGAGATGGAAGTCTATAAGTTGAGGAATGAGACGAGTTGAGACTTCCTTGGTTCCCCGTTATAAGGTGACTAGAGAGTAGCCGTCTCTACCCACAGCCAATGCAGGTCAATTGGGAGAATAGTGGGTAATTAGCTCTCAGTTGTACAACTGTATAGTTGACTGAGTAACTTTGACTTAATGCTGCTTTGAAACTATTTCAATGATAACATGGCATGTCACCTTGGTGTGGTAGGGAAACCCTCGAATTACGGTGGCCCATAAGGGACATGGAGTCTGTTTTTCAATATTTTGTTATTTCACTTACTTTTATCGTAACCTTTTGAAAATTAACACAATTTGTCATACAAATATGTGATAAATCATGTGTAAAGAAGATATTGAATCGCTGAAAAGTGAAACGAAAATGTCCAAAACTAAAATGAAAATGTCAAAAGCCAAAACGAAAATGTCAAAAACTAAAATGAAAATGTCAAAAACAAAAGCGAAAATGACAAAACTAAAATGAAAATACAGAAAACTATTTCCACCGCGGTGGAAATATTATGTTTTCGGTTGTCTTCATACATGATTTATCACATATTTGTATGACAAATTGTGTTAATTTGCAAAAGGTTACGATAAAAGTAAGTGAAACATCAAAATATTGAAAAACAGACTCCATGTCCCTTATGGGCCACCGTATCGAATAGCGTATCAACGACAAAGCCCTTTCCATAATAATAAGAAATCTTTGCTAAAAGCAGAGTCTAATGTCGGATCCGACTGTATCATGACCATGTGTTTATGAATCACTATCAAATAGTGATGATACCAGGTAGCCGCGAAAAGGTGAGCGTATCCTGCCCCAGTGGTACCACCCGTCAAAAACACATGTAAAGGCAAGTCAATTGAGCATATGGTACAAACCTTGGAGCATGGGTATGGTGTTGATAGGCCAAAATTAGGCGGGGATTTAGGAACTGAACACCGATCAGCGGATCCTGGTACCAGTAAGGGACCCAACTTTCAACAGAGAGTTGCATGCCTTAGATGACAGACCACCATGCCACAACACAGACGAAAACGTTTTAAACAAGTAAAACTGACTAAAGTCAGAAAATCACTCGAATCTCTTAATGCTACTTGCGGAATTGATTCTACTTCCGGTATCAGGAGACACCCATGATTTCTCCATGTTAAAATTTTACACTGATGAAAGTGAGTGAGTGAGGTTTTACACCGCTTTTAGCAATGTTCCAGCAATATCACGGCGGGGGACACCACAAAAGGGCTTCACACATTGTAGCCATGTGGGGAATCGAACCCGGGTCTTCGGCGTGACGAGCGAACGCTTTAACCACTAGGATACCCCACGCCCCCACGGATGAAAGACCGTTTACACATTCATGCGCAAGTTCAATGGATGTTGTAAATAGCAGGTCATTTTTTATTTGTTTGCCTCAAAATGTTTTTCGACTGATCAGAAATATTCAATGGACAGTTAGCCTGCCGTAACGGTCGTGGCGTATACGGGTTTTTTTCGTTTTTGACAACACTTCAACACCAACGTCTCGAAACGCTGTGATTATGAAAATGAATTCCGTCAAAAGACGTCCTGTTAAAACTCTAGAAGCGTAATCGATCTTCTTTTTGACTTCCAAAGGAAACAATACCTCCCACACAGATCAAACATCTTCATCTAACCACCCCCAGACCAAAACCACTCGTTGGAAGTCTTGGAATCCATGGTCGGCCACTTACTGATTTGTTAAAGAAAAATAGTTCAAGGAATGTTTGTGAGTGAATTGCCAAGTCATACATGTACATGTAATCTCAAACCCATTCTTGTCCAGCTAACAGTCTTACAGGACAATTTCAAAGCGCAAGGTTAAAAATCATTCAAAACGTCAAGAATTTATAAGTGTGAAAGAAAAATCAGCCTTGAGCAAAAAAGTCGAGCAAAGATTTTGACAGCTCTTGAGATTACAGGATACCAGCGGAAGAATCATAATGAAGTAGTCCCACCGGAAATTGAGTTGCCCGCGGCTTGATAACGAGTGAAGAGGCAGGCGTCCGGAAGTGGTCGATCTGATGAACATTAAGCTTGTGACAGGGGTTGTTAAACTACGAGAACGCTTAACGCCGATCATTTAAGCTGTTATCTGTGATTTGCACACAATTAAAATAATTGTTTGACTTTCAGCAGGAGGTCGGGGACATGTTTGATCGGAGGTTTCAAGGACGGAACCAAAGGGGGTGTGGAGCTGTGACGACAACGTCACACTTTCACTGACTCCATCACTCAGCATGTGCGAAATGGTGCGAAATCTATAAAAACCCTTCATGTTTTTAACTTTATTTTATTTGCAGTAGTCACGACATTCTTTCAGGAAAGTTCTTATTGGTGTTTGGTAATGTTGACATTTAAGTTGAGCTATCGCTTACTGTGTTGGTTTTAGATTCAGAGTGCGTGTGTGTTTATCGTTGTCTCTGAGTTAATCAATGAGCAAGTGCGTGAGTAAATGTGCGAATAAGTGAGTGAAGTAAGGTATTTTCTTTTTTTTAAATACCAGTACCATTCCTTGTCGTCACTGTCACTGTCGTCGTAGCGTCCATTCCTCTACATCTCTTTACCCGTGGTTATATTCTTATGTACATAGTTTAATATCATATACTTTCTATTTTCCCTATTTTTAGAGATAATCAGCTGTTCAATATGAATTTCCCTTGGGATAATAAAGTCTTATCTTATCTTTTTTTTCTTTAGCACTAGAATTACCCTTAACAGTAGGGACGAAGTTCAAGCTTAACGTGGGTCGTAGGTTCAGTATGAGACAAACTGTTTAAAGGGGAAGTGTACACGCAAAAAATCACTTTCTTTCTTTTTCTAAACAAAACGCAATTTTAGAATTAGTTAATATCTGTGTTTGAAAATGTAAACTCATTTTTTTCACAGTGAAAGTAGGAAGCTCACAATAGTGTGAAAATGATATGCCGTTATGAGGCCTTCGTTTTTCGAGCTAAACAGGCCTGAGTTATCCCCCTTAGATTATGACGTAATTGGTGCCAATTCAACTGGATCCCTGTCTATTCTCAACGCAAAAGATATCAAGTACCAGTTTTCGGTAAAACAACATGGCCTACGACACACTCCGGCGCAGTGGTGACACAGCATAACACTATGCTGGCTGGCATCTTAGACGCTAGAATCACACACCTGTACCTACACCACGTGAAGCGGCTCTAACAAAGCATGATGACGTCATAATGTTTATCAATTGGCACCAATGACGTCATATTGCAAGGGGCATAAGCCATAGTGTTTTTGTTATGAAAATAGAACACTTGGTAAATGTGAAAAATATAAATCGTTTAAATGCAAACATATGTTAATTAATTGTGATATTTTTATATTTTTGTCTATGACACTACTATGTTAACACTTGTAATGTGGAAAAAGTACAAGAAAAATAGGTTCATTTCCGTGTGAACTTGCCCTTTAAAGACGCAAGTGAACATTGTATGCATGTAGTCAGCTAAAGTAAGGCCTAAGACACTTAGATCGAGTGGCGTTGAGTACAAACAAGAATAATGACAATATATACGCAAAATACGGCTCCAGCGAAACCAATTTTAGTCTGTTGCTACGGAAACTGTTGCTGTTGATTAGAAATAGACATATTTCAGGTTTATCGTACTCGAGTGAATTGATTTTGAACTCAAAACTAATCTTTTGTTTAAACAAGCTTGTCGTTTATGTACACGAAGTCTACACTGTTGTGATGAGGAGAGAGACGCACCTTCTTCATATATGGAGACAATGTCAATATGGCGTCACGGTACCCAATATAGTTAAACCAGTGGAAATGAAAAAACTATGTCTTCGAAACTGAAAATTAAGTCCTCAGTACCGATATCCGGGTTCCTGGTAATATTCCACTTAACAGACATGCACAGGTTCCTTTACTATACAAAAGTAAGTTAATGGACACCCGATTTTGCCATGGCGGATTAACTATAGTCGTCATATGAAAAAATCAGGTGTTCTTTAACTTCTTCTCAGTAGTATATATAGTACTGACTTACACAGTTGTTTTGTTTATGGGTATTTTCATAATGCAGATGTATATGTAATTAGTGGGGAGACAATATTACTTAGTAATATAAAAGTAATATACTTATCTCCTAATTAACACATGATAATATTCAGGTGATATTAATCCACAGGAAAGTCGTAACTCACGTTTTTAGAGGCAGCGTTGACCTTGGCGGCGTGGCGTGGGTCCACAGCGGGCGCAGACAGGACTGAAACAGTACAGCAATGTTAGTGGAACTGGGGAGAATGTGTTGTTATGGCATATATAACTAGAGGTTGTTACACCGAACAACAACACAACAACGTTAGCGCAACTGGGGAGAATGTGTTGTTATGACATATATAACCAGAGGTTGTTACACCGAAACAAGATTACAACAACGTTAGCGCAACTGGGGAGAATGTGTTGTTATGACATATATAACCAGAGGTTGTTACACCGAAACAAGATCACAACAACGTTAGCACAACTGGGGAGAATGTGTTGTTATGACATATATAACGAGCGATTGTTACACAAAAAACAACAACACAACAACGTTAGTCTAACACATTCGTTGTTGTTAAATCATGTTCCTAAACCTACACTGTAATATAAGATCGTGTTACATTGTCACTATGAAGGCTTGTGTAGTTGCCAATAAAGGTTTTCACACTATTAAAAGTACAGAAATAAAAAAAACACACATCAACGCCAGACAATAACCAGTCTCGATTATCCACTGAAACAGATTCCTTTGGTCGTAACAGGATAAATAGCAGTGGAAACTATGGATGAGTGACGACACTGGGTGTTCACGAAAAGTGTAAGCATGTCCTGCCTACCGGAAACACTCATCACTCACACATAAAAAGTAAGCGTTTGTTGCCCGACGTCGCACAGTAGTACTACCATGCGAGGGCGGCCTGTAAACAAACCAGACAATCAGGTGATAACGTAAATAACACGTATTGTCCTTGTGAAATATGGCTTACAGTGGACAAGGGAACCTGGAACCACATCATCTATCACGACAGGGAATGGGTGCAAGGTGTTGTTTACTGTGACAGCAATAGTCTTGGTATGTCACGGAGTAAACAACGGAGTTTCGACCAGAAAAACCTGTGATTTTTCTAACAGCCTAAACTAACGACCCACACTACTGGGACAAGGTGACACGCAGTGACCCACGTCTGACCAGGCCAGACCTCAGAGTTTTAAACGTTTATTGACTTGTGTTGATATATTTGATATGATAGGTCGGCTCCGGGGTCTAATGGTAGAGCGTCCGCCCGGAGAGCGGAAGTTCCGGGGTTCGATCCCCGGCCGCGTCATACAAAAGACGTTAACAGATGGTACTTGTTGTTACCTTGTCTGAAACACAGCATTAAGGGGCTAAAACAAGGACTGGTCGGCTCGGAGCCAGTATGCTGTGTCTGAGTGCGTTTTCATGTTAAACTGCGGCATGGTATCTCAGTGAACTAGCTAGCACTATACATTCAGCATTAGTCCGGACTAGTACAAACAGCCTCACACACACGTGCATGCACGTCGCTATATATGTGCAATAAACTTGGACGCGCCATTAAACCCCATTTCACCTCACCTGATATCAAAGACACGAGTGTGAGAATATAATTCTGAAGTTTTATCCGCAGATTGAATACGAAGCAGATGAGGCGGTTTCACTGGTGCCTTGTGTTTCTAGTTCCAGTGTGTAAATTGGTACCGAGAAATCAGTGGAAGGTAACTGGCTATTTGACAATTATTGAACGATTTCATTCCATCCATTATATCTAAAGAAGTTAAACTTCTTGGCCAAATTGTTTTGTATTGATTTTGTCAATCCGCGCAGAAATTCTGATTCATATGGATAACGAAACAGACCAGCAAGGTCAAGGAAGGGAGTTTAGTATGTGCCCATGGGGATGCCCGCTTCATGCCCAAATGTCCTAGCCCCAAATTTCAAATAGACGTTATCTCGTCGGAGATGAATTGTCTCCGCCATTAAGACAAAGGACGGCGCCCAGTCATGAGGCCGTAAAACTGGTCTCGTGGAGCAGGTGCTCTCCTCAACCCCCACCAGCTACATCAGAGGAACTCATTTACAAACACGCAACACCGACGTTGTATTCCCGTGGCACATGTACAAAACGCTAATGGTTCCTTTAATCCGATTGTGTTGATGGATCGTGAACATTTTGTATCTTATCATGTAATTTGACGACAGACGTTTTTATCGTATAAAAGTGATTTGCATTCTTTTTACATCCACGCCGAGCTTTCGGAACACCATTGTCGGCAGATGGATTGCAGAACTTTAAGTGTATGGGCTTTGATGGGACTTTACTTGCAGTGTCAGCTGGTGTATTAAACAATGAGAGAGAAATGATGCGGTGTCCCAGTGGTGATATTTCATCAAACACAACGTTTGTCAAATCTGTTTTTGTGGCACACGCGAGTTTAATCTGGTGCCTCGCTCTAGCTATGATAAGTGGTATGACGTCGGTGACGTCGTCGGCGTAGGTGTCGTTGTCGGTTTCGTTTACGGTGTCGTTGTTGGCGTCGGTGCAGGTGTCGGTGTCGGCGTAGGTGTCGTTGTCGGTGTCGTTGTTTGCGTTGATGCCGGTGTCGGCGTCGTTGTCTGTGTCGACGAAGGTGTCATTTTTTTGTGATACATAGAAAAGTAGTTATGATGAAGCTATTCGGTTTTTTTCATTGTTTTTGGACATGTGTCAATCAACTGCGTATTGAGTAAACACATTTCAAGACATAACATATTTAATACCCAACACTAATATTAAAAAATATTCTAATTTCTAAAAGAAAAGGGAACATTTCATGACAAACTAATCACATGGGATACTATATATTCTGTCCATGTCAATCGAGAGATACCATATCTACTGTTAATTTAAGTCTGGAGAAAACATATTTTGCTGCCACTTCTTTCCAAAGAACCCATACTTCCTGTGTCAACAGAGATGACAAAACCCTTTCCATAATCTCTGCTTAAAGCAGGGTCCATTGTAGGATTCCGACTATTTCACAAACAAATGAGTCCCAAATATGTTTATCAATCTCTGTCAAATAGTTATCATAGGAGGTGTCGCGAAAAGGTGCCCTGCCCCACCGGTGACACCCGCAACAAACACACGCAAAGGCAAATAAATTGTTCACCTGAAAAAAACACCAAAAAACATTTGTCAACGCATGCCAAGAGACGCTCTTTCTTTGCACCTGCCGTACCACGAGCTCAAACACGTGTTTGAGCTCGTGGTACGTCAACGCTCAACTCATGACAGTAAAATAATCACACATTCTGCGACCCAAACAAGTAAAGCGATCGCATAATCTTAACTGATCACGGAAAGTTCTAAAAATTGGATTCCACCAAAGACAGAACCCAGTTCTTTATAACCAACCTCTAAGCCCCAGTTCCCATTCAACTGTTCAGATGCAAGTTACAATAACTGGTTAGACAGACCTGTAACTTTGCGGTCGATGACAAAGTAGCCAGTACACAACCGGCACCACACATTGTGTACATGATTAATAAGATTAATATGGTTTTACAATATGCAAATGGAACCATCAGGGAGGACGTCCTTAATTAACACGTACATATACCCGTGGACGTCTCACACCGCCTGGCCCGGAACAACGACCTCCGTGGACGTCACGTGGTTGACAGTAATAAAGATGTGCACCCTCCGTCAGGCGTGATGCCCGTGATTATGTTGACCGAAGTCAGTCTGCGCCATAGTGTGCGGAGCTATCAAGCAGACATGTGATTATAGTAGTTGATCATAGCGGTTAACGTTGCTCTGCAGAAATACGTATTAGTTTGATTTTGAAAATGTTATTATTATATACAAATAAGTGGTTCAATCTCTACTCTGATCTGTATGATGGGAATAAAACATTGAAACAACTATAGATGTAATATGAATCCCCATTTCTAAGGGAGTTATGGCTTTAACTCTTGTAACGGTATTTTACTAACAGTTACATCACGACGTGTCAGCTGGACGTGGGAAAACCCGAATTGATGAACGTTTATCGTTTTTGTGAAACCCAACACATAGGTATGGTGCTGACAAACCTAAAAACATAATCGGGGAGAACCGGGATTCGAACCCACATTCATTGGTTCCTGGCGCGCCCAAGGGACGCAACTGTGCACAGCAAATTGCGGCGTCTTTTGTCAGGAAAAGTAATTTTTTGTAAAAGGATGATAACCCTTTGTATTTTAGGAAAGTTTCGCTGACATGAGACACTATACTAATTGGGAACCCAACGCTGGTTGCTGGAACCAGAGCTATGTAAATGCGATTTGAAACCTCTGATTGAACAATGGGATTTGAGTATTTCCAAAATTATGTCAGAATGAAGTTGAATTGCATTTCATTTTTAGCCGGAAACACCCTTAAACACTCATTATGTTCCTTGTACAGTGTTATGCATAAGGGGTTTTGTGTTTGAGTTTCGTCTCAGCATGACCCGTTATCCAATCACCAACACGTCAATCTAAACCGTGCTCCTCCAGCAGAACATTTGCATGTAAGATTAAGGTCAGTTTGCAGAAGCACTCTCAGGCATCTCGAATTACCAAGACTGACAGGCAAAGCTTCCAGGGGACTGAACAATATTGCACGGGACAATATTGAACTTTGGGCATCCGCTGCATGATACCTTTCCGCATCACAGACAATTCCTTGTCAACAAGGCTCCTCGTAACGAAAGCGCCAAAATGCGCCAAAAGAATCTTTGCCAGCACATCCCTGTGTTCCACGCGGTTAGTTTTATGTAAAAATATATGCGTTTGCATAATTCTTTCTGTCATCTTGTAGACACGGAATTCAGGCCTGTGAGGATATTGTGGAATACAACTCTACGTGATTGTATTGAAGCTGGTGGGACGTTCGGAAATAGGGTCGTAATGACCGCCGCACTCTGGCTAGTGTGTGGTGATGGCTAGCTGTGGTTATTTCAATATTGGAGTAGGTTCCACAGAGTTGGGTAATTGCTGGGTTTGGAGGCAGCGTGGATAAAGTGGCAACTTTGTTCGCATTTATTTTCTTGATGAGCGATTTTAAACTCTGTTCTGTCGTTCTCATTATAGACATAATATCATCGTAGTCGGCATCATCAGCTGCAGCGTCATCATCATCATCATCATCATCATCATCGCCATCATCATCATCATCGCCATCATCATCGCCATCA